GAGTATTTGATGTCAATGAACAGTGTTTGTATGTGTATTTGATGTCAATGAACAGTGTTTATATGAGTATTTGATGTCAATGAACAGTGTTTATATGAGTATTTGATGTCAATGAACAGTGTTTATAACAGTATTTGATGTCAATGAACAGTGTTTATAACAGTATTTGATGTCAATGAACAGTGTTTATAAGAGTATTTGATGTCAATTAGCAGTGTTTATATGAGTATTTGATGTCAATGAACAGTGTTTATAAGAGTATTTGATGGCTGTGTTCATCATAGCCCAGTGGCAACCTCTAGAATAGTTTTAGTCGTATTTCTATTTATTTGTTTATATTACGGATTTTAATCTGAAGTTGTATTTCGAGAAACAAATTCAAGATTATATTTTACATTTTAATTGATTGTAGCAGGCAACAATTCTGAACAAAATCTGCTGCGCACTCGACTTTAAGTTGGTGCTAATTGCAAGTTCATCGTGCAAACTAATCCCATTCCCGCGTGTTTGGGCCATTTAAGTCAGTCTCCGGTAATTGACCCACAATCTTCGCCATGCAAAGCACTGTACCATCGCCTAACTGTAACTGTGCTTGACAAAAAGTCGTATATAAGCTTTTCTAGTCTCCGGTAATTGACTCGCAACCTTCGTCATGCAAAGCACTGTACCATCGCCTAACTGTAACTGTGCTTGACAAAAAGTCGTATATAAGCTTTTCTAGTCTCCGGTAATTGACTCACAACCTTCGTCATGCAAAGCACTGTACCATCGCCTAACTGTAACTGTGCTTGACAAAAAGTCGTATACAAGCTTTTGTGCGATAACATTTAGTGCACGTTTGACGTATTGTATTGCAACATTGCACCTCCGTTACATCAAAAAGACTCATCCAGGAGTATTAAGTACTTACCGTACACACTATCACATTTAGATTCGTCCTGACCATCTTTGCAATCTTCGAATCGATCACACCGTTGCTCTTCTTGTACACATTTTCCGCCCTGCCCGTCATCGTTGTCATCACATTTAAAACCACTCTTGCATTCGTCTATGAAATAAAAACAAATATCGGAATTTACAGTTTTGTCCATTTTACCTCATTATTACACAACGTATTCCGTGAACTCCAGCTAGAAGAATACATTACTGCATTGTCACGTTGCTTCCACAGCTCACGTGAATGCATTGACTCATTATTTCCGTTCGTCTTCTACGAAAATTTATGTAACATAAAATACAACTTATATTAATTAAAAAAAATATGTATCATTAAATACAACTTGTACTTGTAGAAAAACACTTACTACACTGAACGGAACACTTACTACACTGAACGGAACACATACTACACTGAACGGAACACTTACTACAATAAGCCTCGTCTTCGCCGCTCAAACAATGAGGTAATCCGTCACATCGTTTATCGCTATCAATACAGATCCCATAGTAGCCAGGTCCGTTACATTTAAATTGATCTCGTCCACATGGCGCTACAAGGTAATGGGAAAACGTATAAAGATGACAACGCAAACGTTTGTAACTCACTAGAGATTTTAGTCATTAAATGGATGTATGTAACTATGGTGGTTTAGAAATAGAAATTAGATTCAAATCGGCGTTTGTGACAGGAAAAATGCCAGGATAATTTTATTTTCAAAAAAAATCTCTGATTAAGTAACATTTAGAGGTTGACAGGAAGTTACACAAAAAGTACAAATACATTGGTGTACAATCTGATTAAAATCTTATGTTGGTATAGGTCCCATTTTTAAAAGCTTTTGTTATTAAATTTCATATATAATTTATTGTTACTTTTGACTATTTTTTTTACATTTTACTTACTGTTATTAAGCTTTTCCACATATCGTATCTCGATCGCCTTAACTACATAATATGTGGTTGCAGCTGTCACATACGTTCTGGTCTGCTTGACTAATTTTAACGTTAGCTACATATTTAATTAATCCAAAAGCGATATTACTACTCATTGAGTTAGTCAGTTAATGCACAAATGATGAACGAATTTGATTTTCCCTGTTGCCATGGTGATACTCACGATATGTACAGTTTACTTCATCACTCAGACCATCCCAACAGTGGATGTATCCGTCACAGTGTAAGTGAGGTTTGATGCAATGGATACCATCAGAACACTCAAAATCTCCCTTGAGACAAGGACCTGTAAATTAAAAAATTATTGGATAAAACTATCTATAACACCGTACCCTACTGAAATTCACCTCGGTGTAATTGCTTCTGCACTCTTATCGGCGTAGTTATTTATACGTCCCCGCATTCGGGGAATATTCGAAGAATAAACGTAATTAGAAATGCGGAGATTATAGGCACTGATGTTTTTGAGTAGTAACTAGATATTTGATTTTAAAAAATTATTTCGTTAATCAGTGATATGGACCTTGCCAAGTATCTGTATTTAAGCAGCCAGCACTTTCCTGAAATAATCGAACAAATACTGCATATTGATTCCAATCAAGATATTTTTACACTACATATCTCATGTTTCATTATGCTTTAGTAATGCCTGATATTGGTATCCCGTACTAAGTGAAATTATAACTAATAATGCAATATTGTGAGCCAGGCATATTATGTATCTGTGTTCCAGCTGAGTACATATTCAAGTAAAAACGACTACATACGAAGCGTCATGGAGTGTATTTCAGCGAACATGAAGCTACGTGTATGTGAACGTTGTCGACAATTGCCTGGTGATGACACGTGACTGAAACGCGTGGTATACGCGATGACGTAAACACGTGTAGATTACCGTGACAGTTCAATTATGACCATCTATATGGTAGACAAATTAGAAAGAGTTGTAAAATTACTGTCAATAGAAATAGTATAAACAGCCACTACATATAGTTTATATCTAAAACGGTGTAACAAGTAAGAATTCATTCATACCATGCAATGAAGCAAGTAGATGACTCGTCCATAGACTAACTTTGTCTCCAAAGCAATGTAACAATGCAATTGTAGGTAGGCAAACAAACATACATACATTACAACACGGGCTTCAAATTCGTAAAAGCTGAACATCAAGTTAATAATAACTCAATAATTTCATGTCTGGTCGTCTTCAAACTGGCCAATTTTATAAATCACTATATAATATCAATGTTTTATTTTGGTGTCACTTGGAAGTATATTTCCTATTTTATTGCAATTCGAAGGAAAAGGGAAGCTTTTGAAAACCCGTGTAATGTAAAACTCTACATAATAATAGAGCTTTTAAAATGTTTACTCTTTTCGGTGACAAATGATAAATTACTACATCTCAAGTAGAATTATAATACGATTCATCAACGTAAACTCATCCATGCATGGTGGACAATGTAATAACACTGGGGATTACTTAGTTTCTCTGGAGTGTTGTTAAACTTTATTTTACACAATCTAAATTAAGCTGACATATACTCAAAAAAGCTAACATTTCGGATGACACTATGCTCTATTCAAGATAAATTGTTTTTTTACGTGTGGTTGCATTTATGTATCACAGTTGTCTGTTACCATAACAACGATTGCAATTAATCATACAATGGTGGCATATTGGGTGTATATTATATATCTCTGACCTGGAGATATTTTGGCAGCTAATTATAAATTACATTCCCGGTGTGCATAGCTCAGGTGTAAATGGCTTCTATGTAAAGAATGACGGAACGTGTGAAATAAAAACACTGACCTTACTCGTAAAAATACGCATACCAGCACAGACGAGTTGCTTTTCCTGATATAAATGCATATTTTCATCTTTCGATAGAACGGTTTAAACATCTCGTTGATGGGCATTTTAAAAATATTGTTTTCATCTATAAGTGCAGGATCTAATCTTCAATTTAACCCAAATGAAAATTGCGCTTTTTGCTTTCTTCTTCAATGTTATGCTTGTTATATTTATATAATGATAAGTTGAGTTGGTAATTCATTCAGAAAATATATAGCAGTATTCAGATAATACGTCGTCATTAAGGTGTACCACGTGATTGAACATAAGTTGTGGCTGCCATAACTAATATTGAGACATGATGAATAAGCGAATAAGCGACAATATATTTTCTTGATCTGTAGTTGATCATTACACTGTTCATTGAAACTAAATAGGTAAGTACGTCATTGAACCCAAAGGGTACAGTAAACTTGCTATCCTACCAGGAAGCAACATCAGCCAAGGTACACGGGCTTCGCTGATGTTACGTTCCGTTAACTTTTGACATTGCAAGTTCACGAGATGCTGTGGTTGAACCATTCATAATGGTCGTCTGTTGACTTTAACGCGGTCATTTAGGTTTCATTCAGTAAGGAAATAACCCGCGGTCAACATGATGGTATACCAGTGTATGAGAAAGCGTGGCTTCCACGCGGCAACTAACACATCTACCAAAATAGATGCTTAATACCCGAACGTGTTCCACACTGAGAATGTGTGACCATACAAAGCCAATCGAATTGTCCCATGTGATATTCCTAGTTTAAATATGTTTAAATATGACACTGTCTTACTCTAGAGGTAATCTCTGGCAAGTTGTACAATACATACATGATTGATTAGATGACAATAAGAAGTGGAATGTATTGCGCAATTCACTAACTTGTGATATACGTCAATTCATTATTTCCTACATACCATGCTTCCAAAACCAGTGTTTGTGTGAAATGGATGACTTGCCTAGCTTATATTGAATATCCACACTCTATACAAAGCTAGATTTATTGCTGGATTATCTGAATGATAAACCTAAGAGTTGTCTAAGTCATCAGCATCTATTCTGTCTGCTTCAGATATACTTTGATATCATATTTTTAAAAGTGGTTTAAATCAAATGTTGATACTGAAAAAATCAGATTTTTGGGAAATCAATATCACTTTTAAGTATGGCTTCAATTCACACACTGTGTTGCACGGTAAATTGACGTTACGCATTAAGAATACATCAAGTATTTGTAAAATAAATATGATAAATAAATAAATATGATAAAATGGTTTGATTCGTTACAAGTCATTACATTTTCCACATTAAAGAGGATATTATCAGTATGATAGAACTTCTTATTGACCATATATTTGTTGAATTTGAAGACATATATTCAACAATGTATTAACATTCCCATCTAACATAATCATTTGATTATGACCCAGATATATGTCTGGTGTCATACATGGAGCAGATTGTGTTTACACTTGACCTGACATCACTGTATGTGTGCCATTGAGTCCACATAGCTTTCTCTTACTGATTTGACTATGTAGTGCTGTAATTTGTCTTGTCAATTGTTTTCACTCGTGATCTTGTCAATTTCCCTTATGCGAATTGTGTTCAACGATTTACAGTTGGGATGTTATTTACAATCGTTTTCACTAAACATTGGACAATCAGATTGTGGTAAATGTTGATACATCAGAGCAAGTACCTAATGAAATTGCCACTGATTTTATCACTACTAATCAAAACATTATAACTGTAGCCTAAACATGTTTGAT